GGGCTCCCTAAATCATTGCTGCAGGGAAAACTAAATTTTTCTTTCTTAGACCAAAATGATCCAAACTGTTATGTGTTCCGGGGAAGCTGGGGCCGAAACAGGGTCTGTTAGTTGGTGGGCTTAACAGTACTTAAATAAGATCATGTTTGTCAGCTCTCTGTCACCACAATCAAATACCTGAGGTAATGAACTTAGGGAGAAAGAGGGTTATGATGGCTCACAGTTTTAGAGGTTCCAGGACATGGTAGGGTGAGCCAAGCATCTGTGCAGGTGCCAAGTGTCAGTGGGGTAGGGATGACACAAGTCAGAAGAAACTCACTTCGTGTCCAGGGAATAAAAGAGGAAGAAAGGCCTAGGGTTCCACACTCCCCTGCCCCAAAAGGTTTGCCCCAGTGACCTAACTTCCTCTCAACAAACCCCTTTTCCAAAAGATCCCACCTTTTTCCAATAGCACCACCCACAGACCATGACTTCCGGCCTTTGGGAGACATTTACTACCTGTCTTAGTTTTTGTCGCTGTGGTAAATATACAGAAGCAATTTGAGAAAGAGTTCGTTCTGACTCATAGTCCATCCTGGTGGACTTGTTCATCCAAGGCAACCAGGACTTGAAGTATCTGCCACATCCCATTGGTGGGATGATATGCAAGCTGATGCCAGCTAGGGAATGGTGCCACCCACAGTGGGCAAGTGTTCCCACCTCAACAAATGTGATAAGGTATTCCGTCCGCTATAGGCATGCCCCGAGACTGGTTTCCAGGTTATTTCTAGATTCCGTCAAGTTGACAATTAACCATAGCAATCACAACATCCAGAGTGTGGCAAACCTATCTCAGAGCTTGCCGCAAATGTTCCCTGCCTTTAACCTGGCAAATGAATGACTTATACTGCTTCCTGGACTGAAGGAGAACAGTGACGTGAAAGTGTGGCCACTACCTTGGCTTAAATGATTTTTTTTAGTGCTCTGAATGAATGAATGAAAGAATGAAATCACTGATTATGCTGTCCCCTGACTTGTATGAGTTTTTGGGTGAACATCAAAAGTTAAAATTCTAAGCTTGGCAGTGGTGGCGTGTCATTTTTTAATCCCCGCTCCAGGGAGGCAGAGTCATGTGGATCTCTTTGAGTTTGAGGCCAATCTTGTCTACAAAACAAGTTCCAAGACTATTACATAGTGAAACCCTGTCTCAAAAATAAATAAATAAATTCTAGACTCAAGTCCAGGAATGAGGCCGTCTCAATGAGGATGGAAACTTGCCGATGGTTTTCTCTTCTACTAGCAGATTGCAGCTACTTAGGATGCAGGTTCTGCTAAGAGAGGTCTAATGTTTTCCAGGGATGATTTATGTAACTGTCCCAGGCTGCTACCTGGGAAGAGCACCCAGGTGATTAGAGGAGACGTGAAGTGAACATGGAACCATTCTCTGCAAGAGGACAGTGGAGAGTGGCATGTAGGGAGATGCACATACTTCGTCAAGCTGATGAATTCTTTGCTCCTTGTTCATTAAGAGCACCGGGAGGGCACTGAGGATGTAGCTCAGTTGGTGGAATGCCTTCATAGCATGCACAAAGCCCAGGGTTTGATCCCCAGCCATACATAAGTCAGGCGTGGAGGTGCATACCTGCAACCCTAGCATTCCAGAAGTAGAGGTAGGAAAATCAGAAGTTCAAGATCACCTTGGACTAGATAGTGAGTTCAAGACCAGCCCAAAATATACGAGAAACTATCTTAAAAAAACAAAGCAACACCCACATTTAAGCCGGGCGTTGGTGGCACACGCCTTTAATCCCAGCACTCAGGAGGCAAAGGCAGGCAAATCTCTGTGAGTTCCAGACCAGCCTGGTCTACCGAGCTAGTTCCAGGACAGGCTCCAAAACAATACAATACAGAAAAACCCTGTCTCAGGGGGGGAAAAAAAAAACCAAGGCACCAAAATATGCTTGCTTATAACTAGAATCTACATGTCCCTCTACTGCCCACTGTGCCCTAGGCACAAGCAGGCAGGAGCCCAGAGGAAGTCTGGCTCATGTGATTGACAGCAAGCAAGCCAGTGGGATTTCCCTACTCCACATCAACCTCAGTTGCACTCCTGCGTCAGCGTCTGATGGACTCAATCATCAGCAAGAAACTATAAAAAGCCCCTGTCGGGGAGCAGCCGTCCTTTGAGAAGTGTGAATGCAAGGTAAACGAGCAGCTTCTGCCCGGACAATTTTATAGGAGTGAGAAATTCCGCGTCAGAGCAGACTTCAGGAATGACAGTGAATCTCAAGACGGCTCACAGCTCGCCTGACTGCCGCTCACCCAACTTTGGGGCAGCTTAGGTTTTTGGTTTTGTTCCCCCCCCCACTTGTTTAGACTCTGATAAATAGCCCAGAATTTTGAGAAAGGTCCCAACAAGCTATTGAAAATATGCATTTGTCTTTTTCTAAAGTTAGGCTTGAATATTCTCAAAAATTAATGAAACATCCTGAAAAGACATTCTAGGTATGTAGTTTGATGTCTCTGGTTGTCATTTGTGTTCCATGTCAGAGAGAGCAGTTCTCATTGAGGGCTTAGACTGGTCACTTTTCTTGTTACTGTGGGGAAAAAAAATACCTGGCAAGTGGTTAAAGGAAGAGAGGATTTGATCTGGTTCACAGTTTTGCAGGTACAATCCATCATGGTGGAGAAGGCAGGGCGGCAGGAGTGGGCAGCGTGTGGCCACGTGATGCCCCCCATCAGGACACAGAGGCATGGACGCTGGTGTTGTGCTTAGAGTTCTCCTTTCAGTCCAGGACCCAGCCGTTGGGATGGTGCCACATACGTTAATGTAGATCTCCCCTCCCCTCCTCAGTTAAGCTTCTCTCGAAACACCACACGGACAGACACACACACACACACACACACACACACAAAGATGTATCTCCTAGGTAACTCTGAATCTAGTCAGGTTGACAACAAAGATTAACCACCATAGGGCATTGTTTGCTTGGTATTTTTTCTTATTAATATCAGCTGTGTGTGTGTGTGTGAGAGAGAGAGAGGGAGAGAGAGAGAGAGAGAGAGAGAGAGAGAGAGAGAGAGAGAGAGAGAGAGAGAGAGAGAGAGAGAGAGAGAGAGAGATCTTGCATGTGGCAGCTAACCTCCAATGTCATTCCTCACCATGGTTTCTGATACTGGGCCTCTCAACTTACAACTCACCAATTTGGTTAGACTGACAGGTCACCTAGCCCCAAGACCCTGCCTCCTCAGAGCTGGGATTCCAAGCATGCACTTGACTTTTCCACATGGGTTCTGGACATCAATCTCAGGTCCTCATGCTGGTTGACCTATCTCCTCAGGCCCTCAAACTGCTTCTTGATAGCCTTTGCTGAGCATTTTTCATCTGCTTGGGTCTGACTCCTCACCCCTCAAAAAGACTAGACCTTAGCATTCTAAACTGAACTATGTTCTATCCTGGTTATTACTAGAGAGATCTGAAATGGTGACGATAGGGCTGGAGAGAGAGCTTTTCAGTTAAGAGTGCTTGCTGCTCTCCCAGAGAACCAGAGTTTGGTTCCCAGCTTCCATATCAGGCTGCCCATAACCACCTGGAACTCCAGCTCCGTGGGATACCATGCCCTCTTCTCATCCTGTAGGTGGCCAGTCACATCACAGACACACACACACACACACACACACACACACACACACACACACACACACAGAGAGAGAGAGAGAGAGAGAGAGAGAGAGAGAGAGAGAGAAGCGAGATCTGAAAAAAAGTCACATGAAAATATATTTTAAGATCAAGGAAGTGACATAGTCTTTATATATTACAAGGGTAGATAAGGAGAGCTATGTCCCTACACTATGCTGTAGGTTTGCCTCTGAAGGAGAAACCAAATCTCGTTAGTGTTTGGCTGTAAATGGCCGTCAGACATTTGCCTTTGAGAATTTATTGTTCTGCAAATGTTTGACCATGGCCTTGCTCCAGAAGAATGGCTCAGTCACTAGGCTTACTTACTTTCTTTTTTTTTTTTAAGATTTATTTATTTATTATGTATACAGTGTTCTGTCTGCATGTATGCCTGCATGCCAGAAGAGGGCACTAGACCTCACTACAGATGGTTGTGAGCCACCATGTGGTTGCTGGGAATTGAACTTAGGACCCCTGGAAAAACAGTCAGTGTTCTTAACCTCTGAGCCATCTCTCCAGCACTAGGCTTACTTTCTTAGGGCTCACACAATAAATTGCCACAAACCGGATGGCCTAAAGCAAAAGCATTTTATCATCTCACAGACAGGCGGCCTGAAGTCCTGAATGAAGGTGCTGAGAGTGCTGGCTCCCTCGGGCAGTCCACTGGGGCGTGTGCTGTGTGCCTCTCAGTTCCTCACCACTCTGATTTCTGCTGCCATATTGACACTTTCTTCTTCTCTGTGTGGCTTTGAGTCCCAAATCCCCCTCAAGTCACCAGAGTTCGGGCTCACCCTAGATCAAGGTGGCATTGTCTTCAGATTCTGTAGAGGCTCTGTCCCAAAGGACTGGAGAGATGGCTCAGTGTTTCAGAGCACTAGCTGCTCTTCCAGAGGCCCCGGGTTCAATTCCCAGCACCACATGAAATCTCAGAACTGTCTGTAACTCCTGTTCCAGAGGATCTGACGCCCTCTTCTGGGTTTCTCAGGCACCACGCACACAGATGGCACAGATATACATGCATGCAGAACACTCATGCACATAAAATAAATTGACAGAGAGAGAGAGAGGGAGGGAGGGCGGGCGGGAGGGAGGGAGGGAGGGAAGGAGGGAGGGAGAGAAGGCACACACCCCTAGAAACCTTCCTTTGAGCCCAGCTGCCTGTTGCCTTTATATATTTTGAGAGAACACAAATGTGTGGAAGAATTTATGACTCCAGTAAATACTGCCGAGATGGGGAAGGAACAAGGGGTGAGAAAGTGTGCCGTTGTGTCCAGAATGTCAGAGGAAGGCCCTGACAAACTAACAGTCTTTTTTTTTTTTCTTTCCTGCCCATCTTTTTCAGCAAACTGCCTAGCTGGGCTAGAGCTGTTGTACCCAAAATATTTTATGTGACTGAGAAGGCTTGGAATTATTACCCCTATACAATCACAGGTAAGTCCTCAGGACACATCAGCCACCCGCAGCAGGTATAGGGCTGGGACAGTAATGGGATATGATTGAGTGAGGGCAGACTGTCCCCACAGGGCTGGGACAGTAATGGGATATGATTGAGTGAGGGCAGACTGTCCCCACAGGGCTGTCTAGAGGCTTTCTCATCCACATTTTCCCGTTTGTCCACAAACAAGTTGTTTGCTTTGGCTTTGTATTTTGCTTTGAGCTTCTCCCCTTGCAGAGGATGTGAAAATCTTTACTATTTCTTCTTATGACACTCTCTGTTCTGAATACTGTCTCAGGCACGGTACCCTGGCCCCAGATTCTAATGCTCTGTCCCTCCTCATACACACGGGATCTCAGAATTCCACTTCAGCGTCTTTGCAAGCTCTTTGTAGTTGTTTTAAAATGCAGAAGAAGAAAGAGAAAGAAAAAACTGCTTTCCAACGGAAAAGATTTCCTTTGTGGTTAAGGAAATGTTCTACTGGGATTATTAGTCTTTTATTCTGCTTTTACAATGCCAACACTTGGGTTTTTAATTAGTCACAAACCTATAGGCTAATTGAATCCTGTCTAACTGACCTGATCTGCCAACCACAGTAGTACCATGAAACATAGAGACAGCCAATATTTACAGAAACCTAATTTTTGGGAAATTTCTTTAGCTCATTTTTAATAATTATAACTTGTCAGGAACCATTAGCTGTGTGGTTTGTGTTCTGTGAAACTGGTTTCATTCGTTATTTTTTTCTCTCTCTCTCTTTTTTATTTCCCTCTTTGCCATCCGAACGTCTGGAATCAGAATACACAGTAAGTTCATTTATTTTAATTTTCAAAGACATTCTGCCTGTGATCTATGGATTAATTAGACACCCCTTCATATTTGTCTACTTAATATAGTCATTTTTTAAAAAGCATAATTCAAAATTAGAAATGTTTAAATGTAGGCTATTATATAACTTTACATATATACATATATAAAACCAATAAGTTAAGTGTTCTCATTATTTTCAAGAATATTAATGTAATTGAAATGCCTTAATAGTCACTTTACATAATTAACTTCAGCTGGCCATTCTTACATATCCTGACTGCTTCATTGGTGGCAGTTCACTATAATAAGAGTGTCTCGCAGTGTGGTATTAAAGACACTGTGGTTTTGGTGGAGGGAGGGGCTTTGGTATGGGGAGGTGCATATGCAAATGATCACAGCAATGCCTGAGTTGCACTGTCTCTGAGGCTTGGTGAACTCCTTCCTGTTCTAAGAGGCAGACAGACTGCCTTGCTTGGCTTCCTGTTGCTGTGATAAAATACTGACCACATGCAACTTGGGAGCAGAGAGGGTTTCCATGACATGTCCAGATTACAGCACATCATGAAGGGAAATGAGCCAGGGACCCTGATGCAGAGACCATGGAAGAGAGAACACTGCTTGCTGACTCGCTCCTCTCGGCTCACTCAGTCTGTTTTCTGATACAACACAGGACCGCTTGCCCAGGGGTGGCACTGGGCATGGCAGTGTATACCAATAACCCCAGGATTGGGGGTATGGGAAGACAGGCGGATCCCTGATACTCACTGGCTGTCTAGTCTGACTGAGTTGATGAGTGTAAGTTCAGTGAGAGACCTTGTCTCAAATAATAAGGCAGAGAGCAGTCAAGGAAGACGTCTAACATCAACCTTTAACCTCTACATGCACACACACACGAACATCTGGATGGATATGTGTATCCAAACACATACATTCAACCACACGTGAGCTCACATAAAGGTGCCTCCCCAGTGCCTCCAAATGGCCGTGCTGTAAACCTGCATTTCCTTATTTATAAGTCGGGAAGCCCTATCATTATTTTATGAAGGTATGCGATGATTGTGTTGAGCAGTTCTTGACGTTTTAGCCTAGTGCGTGGTCAGTTCTGAGCTCACGTTCACGGCCCTGTGTGTCGCTATGGCGGGAGTGCCTTCCTTCCAATGGACTCCATAGGAGCAGAGCACAGAGTCAGTTCAGGCAGCCTGCACTCCAGCTATGGCCATGGAAGGACTGTTCAGGGTGTGGATATTTCGTCTTCCCTCTTCCCACTCTGAAAGAGTGTGCCTTGTCATTTGAGAGTAAATCAATAGTTGTGTGGACAAAGAGAACTGGTGCATTTAAAACTGCACAAAGACAGGTACGTGCTAAGACCTTAGCATCAATTCGCCTTGGCTTGACACCATGTGATGTGTGAATGTGATAGATTTTTTTTCTTTTCTTTCTTTTTTTTTGAGACAGATTTTCTCTGTGTAATGGTTTTGGCTGTAGGCCAGGCTGGTCTCAAACTCACAGAGATCTGCCAGCCTCTGCCTGCAGAGTGCTGGGATTAAAGGCATTCAACACCATGGCCTGGCTGATTTTTTTTTTTTTTTTTTTTTAGGACAGGGTCTCGCTAAGTAGCTTCAGGGCAGCCTGGAACTCACTTTGTAGACCAGGCTGTCCTTGAACAGAAACCCACCTGCCTCTGCTCTCCTCCCAGAGTTCTGGAATTAAAGGTGTGTACTGCCACGACCACGCATGATAGCTAATTGTGACCAAGAAAGGAAGTCAGAGTACTGTTTAGTGATACTGTGTCATTTGGCTATGCAGGCTTTAGTCACGGTTCTCACGGCTGTGACCGAGGAAGGGGACCGGGGAAGGAAGAGTCCATTTGGATTCCCAGTGAGAGGGAATTCACCTCATCACCGAGGGGGAAGGCGCAGCCGCGGGAATGTGAGGCAACCTGGTCAAATTGTATCCATTATCAGAAAGCAGAAATCATAAATGCTGGTCTTTAGCTTCTTCCCCCTTTTGATTCAGTTCAGGACCCCACCCATGGCGTGGTGACACCCACATTCGGGGTGGACTATTCTACCTCTGTCAGTCCAATCTAGAATCTCCCTACAGACCTGGAAATGAAGTGCAAACACTTGACAGTGCTGTCCTGTGTGCCCTCAAAGTCTTCCCGTAGGAGCTCCAGTTCCTCTTGGGGGGGTTCTCAGTGGCTTGAACTTCTGCTGAGCCTCTGCCCCCACACACACACACATACAACCCAGCATTCCGGCAGCTCTCGTGAGACTTTCCCGTCCAAGAAAATTGGGGGCCGCAGTATTCAAAGAGGAGGCCCGCTTTAGTTGCCCAGGGCTACACCACGTGACTTTCTGTCTGACTCAGCATTTTACTTCTGCCATTATTCCGCCCCCATCTTTTGCAAGATTCTTTCTTCCTCCATTCTTGGGGCTGCTGTCTCTCTGTCTGAGGTCCACAGTCGAATGACTGGGCAGCCATGTGTGCAAGGCATCATGCTTGATGGCACCTGTGAGCATCTCTGCCTCTTGGGGTCATAATCTGGTGACAAGTATGTGGGCATCCTAGGCGAAGCCTTAGTGTTGTCAGCAAGCCTCGGGGGTCTCTTAGAGGTCAAAGAGGATTCGATGGCCTGGGACTTGTCCCATGGCACTGCACAGTCAGCAGGCTGAGCTGCCAGCTGGGGATCAGGCGAGAGGAAAGAGGTAATGATGATTTGGGGGAACCCAGGCTGACAAGCCACTGCAACGTGAGCCATCCCCAGGTCCCCAGTGCAGGTGATGGGAGGGAGCAGGGTACTGCAGGCTTGAGCAGAAGTTAATTCACTCACATGGTACTAAGAGGTAAGGCCATCGGCCTTAGTAAGTGAAAGTATAGGTTGTGGTTAGATGTGAATTTTCAGATATGACATATATTAAAGAGTTTATGGTATCTGTATGCCTCATCTGTATGGGACACATCTGGGCAGTGTGACTATAACACAGATAATTATGTTACAAGGACTAAGAGAGACACCTGCAGCCCAGTATGGTGGGGCAGGCTTTTAATCCCAAAAGTCAGGAGTCATAAGTCTCCTGTATGAGGCCATGGGTCCATATAGTAAGACCCTGCCTAAAAATATAATAAAAATGGGGGGGGGGAAACCTGAGATCCCCTCTGGACCCAGGGAGAAAAGAATGGGAAATGTAGGAAATGTACCATGCCACAGTAACTCCAAGGCCAGTCAAGTGCTCCCAGAGACTTCTGGAAGGCAGCTCCTGGCTTAATTAGGATTGGCACAGATAGACTGTTGGGGAATGTTAAATGTGTTAGGTGAATGCATAACTGTCATTATTCCTTTATAAAAATATTTTGTTTGAGTTAGGCAGTGGTGGTGAACACCTTTAATCCCTGCACTGGGCAGACCGAGGCAGGTGGATCTCTGAGACTGAAGAGTGAGTTCTAGGACAACCAGGACTACACAGAAACTCTGTCTCAAAAAAAAAAAGCAAAAAGTGAAAAACAAACTAAACATAAAAGAAAAATTTTTTTGTTATTATGGTGTGGGTATGATTTGTGTATGTGTGGTAAGGGTGTGTGAATGCCTTAGCACACATTCAGAGGTCCCAGGGTCGAATGGGGATCATCAGGCCTTGCTGGCAAGTGCTTTATGTCCACTGAGCCGTATCGCCAGACCTTCATTTCTTTCCCTCCTTCCTTGCTTTTTTAAGCTGCTCGTCCTCCTGCCTCTTCTCTTGAGTGCTGGGGTTACCCCATGCCCAGTGAATTCAGGACTGGGGCTTAAACCCAAGGCTTAATGGATGGTTGGCAAATCCCAGCCCTTAGGGTATTTTTGTTGATGATGGTGAGTTTGGGGGTCTTATTGTTGTTGTTATCCATTTGTTTGTTTTTCTGAGACAGATTCTCATGTATCTCAACCCTGGCTTCAAACTCAGCATGTAGTCAAGGATAGCCTCTCAGTACTTCAATGGGGGCCTGTGATGTATACAGATGCCATGTTTGGAACATGTCTGGGAGATGGTGGCTTTGACATTAACCAGGGGGATAGTAGCGCCACTCGCTCTACAGACATCTGTGTCTTAGCTTGGCTGCTAGAACAAAATACTATAGAATGGGCAACTTAAAACAATAGGGTTTGGTTATTCTTTTCTTTTCCTTCCCTGGAGGCTGCACGTCCAGGACCAAGTTGGCAGCCAACTGTTCCTGGGGTGGACTTTCTTCCTGATTTACAAATAGTGAGTTTCTCCCCACACCCTAACATGGGCAGGAGAGAGAGAGCACACTTTCTGTTCTTTCCTTATACGGAACTAATCCCATCTCAGGGCCTCCATCTTCCTGATCATATCTAAACCTACTTCCTCCTTAAGGTCCCAGCTCCAAATACTGTCATATTGAGTGCTAGGGCTTTGACTCTGGAGCGGGGAGAAGACAATTTGTGTACAATATACTGATGTAGACACCATGGGGGGGGGGGGTACTGCTGCTGGGCCCTGGTGAGGAGGACAGGTTGAGGGCAGGTCAGAGAGCTGCAAAATGCCAGGTCAGGTTTTGCGTTTTCTCCATAGGGAAACTGCATCGTTCCTGATGAATCTGCCTTTATTTTCCATTCCAAAATAGGCCTGCTTTTCTTTCCATTTCCCAGTCACTGGGGATCTGAAATGTTCCCTCTGGCTCCAGGTGCACTCCTGTAGGCCTGTATAATACATCCTGCAGCCGCCAGGCTCCCACCCCACCCCACCCCACCCCAGCTTGGGCTCGGCTGTGTTCTCACGCTCTCTGCCCACCCTTTACCCTGAACATGGCTCTGCAGCAGGGACGGCTGGCAGATGCTCTCTGTTGCCTACATTTCTTCCTGTCTTCAATGCTGTCTAATTGAGTTCTTTATCCTCCAGTCCTTTAATCTTAAATACCTCTCTTTTTAATGTCTTTCTCAAGTTCAAGATTCCCTGTCCTAGAAGCCAGAACAGAATTTCTCCCAACTAAGAATGCTATG